GGTTCACCCACCACAATACTGAAGGTCTCTGAACAAATCAGTAAGTCAGACTGAGAACAGTTAAGTACAACTCCTGGACTTTGAAGAAGATTTTTATGAGGTGCTCCACTAAAGCGTCTTAAAAAACCCAAAACACTCAGCTGCTAAAGAGGAAAAACAAAAGCCCTGTCTTGCATTAATAACTGACTGAAAGACAAGAAACAAAAGGGTAGAAATTAAATGGTCAGGTTTCAACCTGATGAAAAGTTACAAACAAATTTCCCCACAACAGCACAGTAGTACTGGAAAGAGCTAAGAGCTAGGGGAAGCATGGAAAGAAAAAATGGCTGCCATAGTTACAGTGTTAATGGACTAAGACTGCAGCTTAGAAAAGGCATGACTAAGGATTGATATGAGAGAGAGATCTATATGGTTATGAATGGTATGGAGAAGACAGAGGAATTTATGATTTCTCATAACAAAGTATGTAGAGGGAACCAAATGAATATTAAGTGACATGTTTAAAAAAAAGGAAGTATTTTTTTCTTTATAGGACAAGTAACTCTGGAACTTCATTTCCACACAGTGCTGTAGATATCAAAAGGATAAATTGATTAAAAAATGAAGAAGAAAAATCTATGGAAGAAACACCTAAAGGTTCTTAAAAAAGAGATACAATTTCTGCTCAGGAAACCCAAAAGTTGAAAACTATTGGAGACTGAAGACTGATACTTTCTCTGCTACACATTCTTTAGCCCTTTCCATTCCCTAAGATAAGCAGACCTTTGGCCTTCATAGCAACTCTTCTTATGATGCAGGTCAAAAAGTACTGACCATGTATACAAAAGCCAGCAACATGCTTGCTGCTGACTGGCACGTACATGCTGCCAGTTCCACAGGAATATTCTGGTGTGCAACTGCATATGGGTTTTTCATAGGATACCTTCTCCCTTAGACAGCAGATGAATAACCGCTCGAGGAGTACCAAGAAAGGTACTAAGTGTCATTTAAATTATCAAAGTGACCTTTCAATGCAAGTTTCACACATCATAAATGTCTCCTCTTTTGCCTCATGAGGTCTAGCAAATGACTAGAAAGACTTTGTCTCAATTAATAGACTGGCATTTGCTATGAGGTTAGTTGCTTAATGCCACTTCAGCAAGCAAAATCAGCCCCTTATTTGAGGCCCTGTTCCAGAGTCCTGGAATACAGGAAACTTACTGGGACAGAAGCTTGGTCCCGCTCTCCACAAGCCGTGTCAGCACTGTAATCCCTTCCATGTTGATGAACTCCGTGGCAAAGGTCACATCTGCTGAAAGTTTAGCCAGTTCCTTCATGGCATCCAGTCGGGCTTCCATACTGTGCGACTGGATCCTCTCCATCAGCTGGCGAGCTGCCCTAGACTGGGAGGAAAGAGGGATGATGCCAGTTACAGACTAGTCACCTGCAGACTGAGTTCAGCCAACATCAGCATTCTGTCAGAAGTCCATGGATGGGCAGAGAGAGCACAGCAAGGGTAAAGAGATACCAGCAATGACAGGATAAGTAGCAGCAGTCAGCAAGTCTAAGACAGACTGAAAAAAGGCTGCGTTCAGCAACAGCTACAGTGAAGCAGGAGGTGAGTAAAATGCTATTTTACATGTTAGAGTAAATGCTTCTTTTTCTTCTTGGTGAGGTAAGCGGAGGTGGATATAAAAATATGGAGTGAGACTACTAAAGAAATATGATGTTAAAAAAAATCTCTCATAGATTCAAAGACAAGCACAAGCTCATTTTGTGTATCCACAGGACATTCTGTAAGACTTATCAGACATGGATCAATGATATCCTCTCAACCACTTCTTCCTGTTCTACTCACTCTAAGCTACATGCCATGACACTTGCACAAAAAAGGTTTAAGAATTTCAATAAAAAGGAAGCTGCAGCAAGTCTGCAAAAGACAGCTGTTGAGGTTGAAATAGCAAGAATTCACTACGAACAACCCCCTCTGCATCAAATTTGTCTCTTATTTTAATTTCTGCATTAAGTCACCAGTACTGTTGCTTACCGACTGATAATACTAACTGCACTCATACTGAGAATGTGTCTGTCAGGTGCTTTACAACATGCTAATCTAGGACATGCAATAAAAATGTAGACTGGATTTATTTACAGAAAGTCCTATAAAAGGGCAGAGCATCCAAAGGAAAGATACACACCACAACCAGAAAGGAAAATAAGAGTGTGCGCCTCATTGTGCAGAACAGCCCACAACAAAGGTAAGCCCCCTACAATTCAGGGAGAAGGAGGAAGAAAAGCTGAGAGGCAAGAAACAGCCTGTCATACGAGGATAGCTATTGAGAAAAAAGGATGTGAGGAAGCATTTACCGGGGAGACTGCCAGCTGTAGGATAGTTCCATTCTTGATGTCACAGCGAGTCTGAAAGAAAAGATAAACTTTAAACTGCAGAAAAGTGGGGGGAAAAGAATGCACTGGATCTACAGTGCACATTTGTATGCACAAGTAAAGGGGTTCCTATACCACACAACCCTACCGAGGGTACTTAATTGAGTGACTGGGTCCTCGCTCCTATGGGCATGCAAAGGAAGAAGTGCAAGGCTCCTCGAATAACACCATTCAAGTCTGAGTATTTTTGATAGCACAGATGCTGCCCCTCAAGGATTAGCGACAGTATTGTTCCGTGACACTAGTCCAAGGCATTCTGCACTCTTGTCCAGAACATCAGCAAATTGCTACCTCTCACACTGACCTGCTCTGTGATGTACAGCTGAGGACCATCAGCATACCGCAAGGTGTAGTATTCAGGGTTTGGCAACGACCACCTGGCAGAGGAAGAAGAAGGATACATAAGCTTCTTCCTCCTCTTTCTTCTGGCTCTTAGTTAGGAAGAGGGGCTTGATCCCAGGAGGGTGGAAAAGTACTTTCAAGCAAAGCTTTAGCATGGGAAATTAGGTCTCCCAAAGAAGAGAGAAAATATCTTCCTCTTGGGGGCGGGGGGGGACAGGACTTCAGCCTACTCTGAGTCAAGCTTTGTGGAATGTCCAAAGAAGCCTGCACTTCAGGAACAGCAAGATGGGCCAGCCCTCACAGACACTGACCCTAGGGGCATACATATGCACACACTCAGAACTGGAATAAAGATGCAAAGCCCCTGTTTTCCAGGAGATCCTTTTCTTCCTGGTTTAAACCCTGGCCCATTCCATGGCCAAAACTGGCAGCAGGCAGCACGGATCGTGCTAGCAGCACATTGACAAGCAGCAGAGACTTTCCTCAGTACCCCAGCAAGATTTGTCAAGGGGACAGACTTTCTCCACAAGGGTTCCCAGAGAACTACTCACCCATCACAGACCTCCTTGATGATGGATGCAAGAGGCCTTTTCTAGAACAGAAAGAGAGAGTCCTTAGTCCTCAGTTCCTCTCAACCAGAAAGGAATACTGCCCATTTCTATGCTTCCCACATTCCAGTATCAAGGTTGTGGTGCATTTCCTCCCCCATCTGGTTACCAGGTCTCACCTGATCTATTTCCAGCAGCTGGGCATTGGCACCTGGCCACTCAACAGCTACTTTCACAATGTCCGAAGGTGGTGGCATTGCTCCAGAGTCCTCCAGGTGCCTTTACAACAGCATACACCCCCGCACCTGTTAAAACAAAGGACAGTGAGCAGCTCTCTGAAAACTATTTCAATTGTTACATCGCATCTAACACCAAGCTTCAAAACACTACATAAGACCAGCCTTATGGTTTGCTGGGCCTGCTAGGGACAAAACAGCCAGCGTACCAGAGATCAAGGCCTCATACTAAACCAGCACATTCTGAAATTGTATGCCCAACCTTATCACCTAAGGAATATTTCTGAGAGCTTGTTGGGGTATTCACATAAGAAGGAGAGTCACTCCGATCAGCAAAGCCCCATCTGCCACCTACTGTCAGTACTGCCAGGTCAGTTTACAGGACTACTAAAGCAATAGCTCCCTAGGGTCAGCTACTGTCTGTACATGAGAGAGGGAACATACTGTCCAGGTAGCCGCCCTCCCAGGGGCTGGTGTTTACTGATGCCCCATTCATATTTCTCAGATACCTTGATCCACTCAGGATACCCAAACAGGCTCCTAGGCAGAGTAGCTAGCTTTATCCCATTCCCTTCCTATAACATCATAAATCCAAAACATGAATATCCATCACAGAAGAGAAGTTAACTCAGCATTTGCTCTAGAGGTCTACCTTTCACTCCTTTATCTGCCTTAGAGCATAAGCTTGTGTTCAGGGTTTGGTCCCAGACAGTTGTCAGACATGCTGGTTTGTGCTTCATCTGGTAGTAAGAGGCTGTAAAGAAATGTACTTGTTCAGTTCCTTTTTAATCCTCTCCTGCTCTCTCCCACAGAGCCATAGGGAGAAAGTCACATGGGAGAGAGACAACCCTCCCCATCAGCAGTTCTCAGGAACAAAGGCTTCAAGCTGCCAAAAATTAGATCTGATTGGACACAGAAGTAGTCCTGTTCTTAAGGACTCCTCCTGAGACTCAATTTCCAGCATACCCTGAATGAGATGGTAAGCATCCGAAGAACAATTTCCCAGCTCCTATGGAAGCTCCTATTGGCAACGCAATCCCCCTTTCCCAGAATAGAGATGAGACAGTGCTGAGCAGGGACATTGTTTCATGATTAACATACTTTCCCGACTTCCTTGATCAACTGGGAAAGAGATGCTAAGACTTGAAGGGAAGCCAACAGCCTTTGGAATTTTCCTGATGCAAAGCAAGTAAAGAAGAGAGAACTTTCCACGGGTGAGCAAAGACCATGCAGCTGCAGAGATACCTGGCCCAAGAAATTGGACATGACTGTCCTGGAAAGGGAACTTCTATGAAATTATCTGAGTCTACCACAAAAGGCGTGTATGCCTGGCCTGTATAAGATGGTGACCTAGAGATCCACTGATGATCTCAATTAATGAAGCTCATATGCCTCTTCCTTCCCTCACAGAGACTGGTATCACTGCATGGAGAGATATGAAAACTCTGGTGCACTAATGTTTCTCTGCATTTGTACACACACAAACCCCTTTATCAGCCCCCTGTGACTATCTTCTCAGTCCAGTTAAGGCAGCTTCCTTACCTAGGAAAACAGAATGCTATGATCTCCTGGTGCAGCCTTCTGAGATAGTCACAACATTATCATCACTCGGGCCTGCTGGAATTGAGGATGAGGGGTGCAAGTTTAGCATTTCTTTCATAGCACCTCCTAGAAATGCTCAGTGTTATCATCACAGCTAGCCTTGCTCTCAAGACTCCACCAGATCAGACATACTTGCTTTACAATGAAGGCACTTGCTGGAGAGAGAAATCAGCCATTCCCCTAAAAAAGCATTGTTTACCATGAGAAGCCCTTCTGAAGCTGCCTTGTTCAATTTGCTCTATCCTCAGCATGTGTATGGTCTTTGCAGTTCCTGCAGGAATCCTGAACTTCAAAGCTATCTGGGGCTTCAGCTAACGCAAACGGGAGATTGGTATTGCATATGCACAGGAACACCATCCTCCTCTACTCCTACGACAGCCAGACTTTGTCCACTCTGCCATCCCACCCCTTGGAAAGTATCTGGCAAGCCAAATTCAGAATTTCATGGTATTCTGAAAATGGGCAGCATACTCCAACTCACAGAGATGATTACAGTCAGTACTCCTTCTTGCCTTCTCTTTCCTTTTTAGCATCAATCCCAAGAGCAGCTTATGTTTTCTTAAAACCCATAAAATGACTGTAAGACTAAACACATGCGGAAAAGTGCCAGTCAAGTTAGGTTCAGTTTTGCCAGTTTCTTAAAATAACATCTCCAACCTTTCAGATAAGCAGCACAGCATTAGCTCAGACTAACATATCAAGAAAGAGCTGGGCTCGGAAAAGCCACAGACTCAGTGCACCAATCAGGTTGAGCAGCTCTCGGGGACGATGACAGAAAAGCATTTATATGATTCCTATCATACAAAACTGCAAGTTAGAGTCAAGCAGTTACACAAACAACACCTGATATTTTACTTCCTAATCCTGGAGGGAAGACAAGCAAGCCATCTCCTGCTCCAAGATTTGCTCTTGATAAAAATTTTACCACTCATCTTGACAACAAACAGGAAAGCCTGTCCTTCAGAGAAGGTGCATCAGGTAAAAAACTCCAGCTTGGACAACGTGAGGTCACACAAAGGAAGACTGCTCATCTGAGAGCTCAATTAAATTAGTGTTTCAAAGAAGATTTCGCAGCCCATAGAGCTAGACTAATTCACAAACAGAAAGCACTGAGCGTATGCTGTCCTATGGAAACACTGTCTCCAAATCCCATGAGCATGTGTTAACATACTCCCCTTTCTTCACAAATTTTGATTATCAGTGTTCTATTCTCTCACTCCAAGACAGAAACATACAATTTACTCTTTGCTAAGAGAGACATGTTAACTTGCAGCAAATACGTTCTCAAGAGCCCTCTATCTCTAAATGCATACACAGCTGCTGGTGCTATTTCCATACCCATTACAATCAGTAAATTGGACTCTACTCCTTTCTTCTACACCCATCCTGAAGCAGCTGGTTGTCTTTTGTCCAAAGTAAACTAGGAATTCAGGCAATAAAGCATAAGGCACCCAGAACCAGAATAGCACCTTGCCTCATTGCATAAGCAGAGCAAAGCACTTAGGAATCTGCATAAAGAAAGGAATGCTTTGAACCCAGACATATTTAGAAGACTGTAGCCCCCTGTACAGCATTTATTATTGGGGTTAGTATCCATAGCAAGCCTACCTATACCAGTTATCCTTAGCCTGTTCACAAGTCAATGCCCAATGCCTGATATTTCTGAGGATAGGAAAAGTTTGCCAAGCATGCCACACTACAAGTCAGAAGAGTCCCTCCTGATCCCAAAAATCTGACTTTCTCTAACATCCAAGTAGAGTGTAATAAAGAGACAAGGCAGAACCAAGAAAGCCTGCGGAACCAATGTCCTCTGTAGCATCAGCCGTAGGAATTCGGAACTTACCTCATCCTTCTGTCTCGCAAAGAGATAGATGAACCTAACAAAACTATGAATCAGTCTTCCTCACTTCCTTTTCCTGAATTACACACACACAAACACAAATAAATAAATAATCATTTAGACTTTCAAATGGCCTTTGCAGCAATAACTTAAAACAGGGATAACTCATCAACTAAATCTTTAAGTACACTATGGCAATTACTAGCATACAAGCAATAGCACAGCTCCGTACATATTCCCCAGACAAAGTGCCCAATTTGCACGACAGCCCCAGATCCGCAGGATATACAGGTTTCCACCCATTAAGTCTAGAAACAGACAGGCAGTTCCCAAATGGTATGTGATTTCCACTCACTGTTCTCCATTCAGCAACTAAAGCCTATGATGGCCTAGACCTGAAAGCCTGCGAAATCTTAGTCATATGGCATAAGCACACGTCGTCTCCAATAATCAGACTGGCTTGCAATAACTGAACAGATAATTACTTCTCCCACGGGTGAACCAACTCATGACTAGAAACCATCTAAATCCATTCAGTGTTCAAGGCACAGCAAATGCACAGTGAAGAGGCAAGGCTCAAAGATCACTTCCTTGAGTATTAAGAACTGAATTTGCAACTCTTTTAACTAATATACCCATGAGTAATTAGCATTTAATTACCACTTCTCCCTTCAGCCTCTTGCAGTACAGTCATAGTCTTTTATTTGTACTGCAACTTACATTGCAAGTTGCTACTGAAGAGTATAAGGAAATACAGTACTTTATGTGCCATAACAAAGATGCCCAGATTACTATAGGTAGAAGCCTTTACAAATCTCTAACTTGCCTTCTCCCTTGCAAAGAACACACATCATTCAGGGAGACGAAGTGCGCATTAAAACGAAAACATTGATATTATAGGAAATTCTGCAGAAATCATAGAATCATAGAATCGTTTAGGTTGGAAAAGACCCTTAAGCTCATCGAGTTCAACCGTAAACCTAACACTGCCAAGTCCACCACTAAACTATGTCCCTAAGCGCCATATAAATATAAATAAAGTTTCCTGTTTCATCAAAAAAAGTATCGCAGAGGCTGGCCCACAACTCCTAGAGGCAATGCACTCTACCTGCAGCTCCCTTGATACCCTCGCCACTGAAAACAGTAACCAACCAAGTTGTATTACACTACCTTCGTATCTCAAAAAAAGCTTTCAGCTGCATACAAACTCAGAAAGTAACTCACCATGATACATTAGACTATTTCTGCCCCAAACTTCTTCCATAAATGAGCACCCATTCATGACTGGAAACCATGTTCCCTATTCCAATCAGTATCCAAGCCACAGCAAATACGCAGTGAAAGAAATAGAGCTTAAGGACTGTTCCACTGCACAGCAGCACCTTGGAACAGATACCACATGAGCCTACCAAGTAAGAGATTCAAACATCAAAATGAATTGGCTAAGCAGAACCCAGAGAAGCAGGAATTAAAAATTAAAAAAGGTAGGAAACTGTTCAGACAGTCTGGGTCAAACAAGCCTTTGAAGGACCTACATAGATCAGTGGCTCAGCAGAAGTAGCTTTCCAGAAGAGGACAATGAAGACTGGAGTACAAATACAAAGGGTACTTCAGGTCAGCCTCTTAACACGAGGTTGTCTGTCAAAAGCATTCTTTGAAAAGATTTCACTGTATGTCTGCAGACAAGAGACGTGACAGATTTTTTTTTTTACAGTGGATATTTTGCAGTGCACCAGTGATATATCTGATAAAATAACTGTTCAGAAGCTCTTGGGAAGAAGCACAGACTGCAGTTTTGCATAATTGTGATTATCAGTCACTTTCAGGTCTCTCACAGCACATTCTTCTCAACAACAGTATGTAAGCAATTCTCCCTGTAAGTTTCTACAGGGAGACAGCAGCCAAGCTGAAATCCATCAAAGATGAATTCACTCTGCTTCGGCAGAGCGAGTTCCTTCATATAAAGCAGTGGTATAGGGGTAGCTGCAAGGCAAGGAGAAATCAGCAGAGCCACTAATAACACACTATTCAAGAGACTTCTGAGAAGCTGCAAGCTAAAACAACTAGAGTGTTTTAAACAGAATTTCCCTATTCACAAACTCAATCTTCTTTTCATTACAGAAAGAGAACAAAGTGTGCTGCACACAGAATGAAAATGAGGAGGATGAAAGAACATTCCGTGAAAAAGAAAAGCTGCCTGGTAGAATCCCCCAGTCAACAAGCGAATAGCTGCAGCTTCTGAAACCTGCAGATGCAACAAAACGTTCTAGTTAGTTCTCAGCAAGTCCCCAGATGGTGAAACCATCAGGCCAAA